GGGTTAGCCTTATGTAGAGCAGCGGGGGGGGGGGGGGGGGGGATGGCAGATGTATTGATGTTTAGCATATGCAGCTATGTCATCTGCATACCTTAAGTTTGTTATAGTTCGACCTCCTATTCTAACTGTTTCATGGTGTTGCTTTAGAGTATCCATCATAATTCTTTCTGAAGAGATGTACAGTGTTGGAGAGAGAGGAGGCAGCCCTGGCGGACTCCTACTGTTGTTCGGAACCACCAATAAGATTACAGTATGATATTACAGTACTAGCACAAACATATCTTGCAGAACATTGCTAGCATAAATAATATCTTGTATGTGTGTGCACGCCTGGGTGTGTTTATGTGTATGTGTGTATAAAACAGAACACTGCTAATTTAAATACAATTTTTGAGACCTTTAAGAGGAGCAAACAGTAGTAAGTAACACTGCACGCTACCAGACACTAGGTAGTGCTGGACTCCAAGTTTGCTAGCTAATCCAATCAAAACCAATAGCCACAAAAACTAACCATAGAAAGTCTAACAATGGAACACCTCATATGCGACTAACCAAGATAGAGACCCCCCCCCCCTTTTTCCCCTCCGTAAAAAGGGGGGGGGGGGGCATTGGGGTGTGGTGTCTAACTGAAGAATAATGACCAGGTCCCGATAATGTTTAATGAAATCCAGATCATCGACGCATCTTCTTTCCCTTAGGAAAAAATCCAGAATCGACAGATACAATGTTAAAACGTTGTACACTTGAGGTAGTGATAGGAACAAAATATTCTGAAAATGGAACTAGAGTAAAGATTACAAGATGGGCAGGACCAGGGGTGAGCTGTATGCGTTGGCAACCAATAGGAAGACTTGACAGGAAATGGTTGCTCAACCGGGAGATAACAAGAACAACAATGTAGCACCATCACGGTGGCTATTTCAAGTATGTTTTATTTTAAAACCTGCCACTAATCCTTGACATAGTTGCTGTTTTATGTTGTAAGTAATCATAATCATAGTTGCTGGTGTGTGACACCTGGTTCATGTTGTAAGTAATCCTAGTCATAGTTGATGGTGCGTAACATCTGTTTAATTTATCCTTGTCATTGCTAATGGTGTGTAAAATCTCTTTCATGTTGTGAGTAATCCTTGTCATAGCTGATAGTGGGTAACATGTATTTCGTGTTGTGAGTAATCATTGTCATAGCTGATAGTCTGTGTAACATCTCTTTTATGTTGGGAGTTATCCTTGCTATAGCTGATTGTGTGTAAGATGTATTTCATGTTGTGAGTTATCCTTGTCATAGTTAATGGTGCATAATAGCTACTTCATGTTGCTATTTATCCTTGTTATAATCGATGGTATGTAACATCTCTTTGATGGGAAAAGTTGTGCCGTTCACTTAGAACTTTAAACCAGGGGCTCTCAATCTTTTCAAACCCGCGGCCCAACAAAACGTGGAGAACTGTTTGGAGCGCATCTAGCAGCTAATTAAACATACTCAGGAGGAGGTGGTAGCATGTCCCAAGTGATATGAAGATGATCTAAAAATGAACAATAACAGACACATTAAAACAAAAAATTTTGAGATTACAGTTTATTTGTTAACTTCAATGTCAGAAAATTTCAATTATTAGCCAGTGTGCCAGTGACATCTGCTGTTGCTGCTGTCGTTGCTGCTGCTGTTGTTGTTGCTGTTGCTTAGAAGTTATAAAATCGGATCTACATGCCTGGAACGGTAATTCTGGAACACGGAGCGTTGCCATAACGTTTTAACTATGCTTATTTATGATGGTAAATATCACTTGTACCTCATCCCCTGGGGTGCTAGTCCTACAGTCTGCAATCCTGGAAGAGGGAACCTACCTATGCTACTCTGTTACCTGTTTGGACAGAGACTGTTGGCGGTCCTTCTTGACTTGTCCGCGACCTCAAAAATGGGACGCTGCCCATGGGTTGAAGAAAAGTGCTCTGGGCAACTACAAGTAATAATGCTATAGTATATGTAATAATGACTGTAATAATTCTATGGCATATGTAAAAATGACTGTAATAATGCTATGGTATATGTAATAATGACTGTAATAATGCTATTCTATACGTAATAATGACAGTAATAATGCTATGGTTTTTGTAATAATGACAGTAATAATGCTATGGTATATGTAATAATGACAGTAATAATGCTATGGCATATGTAATAATGACTGTAATAATGCTATAGCTTATGAAATAATGACTATTCATTACAACTAATATGTGTTTGTAATAGTGCTGACTGGGGCACTGTCCTCGGACAAATGCAAAACAAATACTGTGGATACTAAGTGCTGTGTAAAATAGTCAGCGAAGGGGTCTATTCATTCTGAAAGAGCATCGATCATGTTGATTCTCTTGTAACACACTGATTGGATGGTATCGGCAAAACCAGACCAGCTGTCTTTACTTCCCACGCCTTTTTCTACAATTCTTCATCTTCTTCCTCTACCACTACTACTACTGCTACTACTACTACTAC